TGCAAAAACAAAAGCGATGCCAGGCTGCTTCACTGCTTCAGCAAACTGCTGGCTGGGCACTGACAGACCTGCGATCTGCAGGCAGAGGGAACAGAAAAAGAGGAAGAGCAAACCTTTTCATGAAATGATGAGAACTGTGTGACCACTAAATCTGAGGACTGTAGTTAAAAAGTCAGAGCGCGTATGAGGGAATGTGAGGAGTGTTTCTCAGACTCACAGAGACTGTGTCTTCACTGATGAAGCCAGAGAGGCTACCTCTACCGTAGTAGATGGAGAACTCAGTGCCATTCTTAACATATGTGCTCGACTTCTTCGAGTTGTAACGATGGTGAAGCCCTAATGGGAGAAGACAGCCAATCAAAATGAAAATGCAGGTATTTCATGGACTTTAACAGATTGAAACAGGATTAGAAGGGGTGAACAAGGGTGGCAGAGCCCCCTGCAAATCTGATCGGCCACCTCCGATTCTTTAGGGGAATTCTAGGAAGAATTAGATGGACAACAAATGATTTAAATCATGTGACAAAAAGAAGCTGGCCTTTGTTATAAAGAATAATGAGAAGTGTGATATTTTAGCCACTGCTGTGAGAGTGTAGAAGAAGTTCATTTCCTCAAAAAGCAAACTCACAGCAGGCCAGATCGTAGAAGGAGCAGTGAATGGAGGGGACCCAAAGGTTGGAGGAGCCGGTGTCAAACAGCACAGTGAAGTTCTGTGGAGGGGTGCCAATACTGATCACCCCATAGTACTGAGCCTGAGGAGACACACATGGTGACAGAAGACACTAAACTCTGCCTTTGCATCAGAATGTTAAACACTGTACAGGCATTTTACACAGCAGGCTTCACACTGACGTTGGCAGGAATGAAAATGATTTCTGTTACGGTTAGGTGTGCCTTTAGCCGAACCAGCATTCACAACACCAGGGCAGCACACCGAAACGAATGCAACTGCAGTTAGTGTTAACTGTTAGACCTGTGTGTGGGTAGTGCACGTCCTTAGGAATAAACACACAGAGAGGAAGGTTTCCTGGTCCCATTCAGCCTTCTTCACATCATGTCATGGCTGCCCGAGCCTAATATTTACTGCACTTGGTTTACTCCTGCTCAAACAAACTGTTGACCCAAAGTGTAAATTATTGGATTGTGCTGCCAAAGTGTGAAGTATAGTTTACATCTGGAGCATCAAGACAGGACAGGATAATGGCTGAACTGTTAACGATGGTTAAACTTTTAACTCGGGTGTTCTGTGGGTGCGCATACATCCATGAAGTTGGTCAGCCTCTCCACGGGCAGCTCGGGGGAAGGAGTGCTGTCCGGTGCCCCGCTGCTGATCGCCAAAGCCCGAAGCTGCTCCAGAGACATCCCATTGTCGCTTATTATGCGCCGTATGCTTCTGGTTTTATAAAGGGGAACTCTGTAACGACAATATATCGAATTATATATCACAGGAGCAAACACACGCTCGCCATGCGCACGAAAAGGCTGTTTCCTGAGATATACTTTCTACATGCAAATTTTGTAAGCGAGCAAACCACAGAAATGTGTGAAAATGTTCTTTCAGCTGCACTAGTGTCATTATTCTCGGTAAGTACTTGGGCCATTAACTGAAAACACGTTGATCTAATTCCACCTATAGAGAACAACAATGAGGTTAACACGCGCACAAACGATGCTTACGATGTTTTTTAGTTGAGTGTTGCTAATATCAGGTGACAGTTGGATTTACCTTATAATGGCGACGCCTTGTGTTATCAGCAGCGCCCCGATAATATGAAACATAGTCAACCGCGCCATTTCTGTCCCAGTGAGGAAAAAACGTACACTTCTGTGCTGTTTCCGTTATTTGACAGGGGTACAACAACTTCGACAACGCAAATAGTCACATGACAGCGCTTCGGTGATTTCCGCATTTACCCGTCTCCCCCCGCTCGCTTCTGTGATTGGAGGAGAATAATCAGCTCTCATTGGTTGAAGAGCATCGCACTCATTAAAAACTGGTGTGTACAGGTCTACGGCTTGTAATTGATGGTATAGAACGTAAATGTTTGATATGATGGAAAACATTATTTTTGGTGAACACCTTTCCACACGTAATCTATAACCCTAAACCAGCAGATGGAGCTAATCATGAAAATAATGGTTAAACTCCGTCCAGGCCCGGCCCTAAGCAGTTTGGCGCCCTAGGCAAGATTTCAGGTGGCGCCCCGTTGCATCGCAGTAAATTCCACTGCTAGTGTATATACTCATAAGAAACGTAATAGCTTTGTCTTGGACATTCTTTTATTTAAATAAAGCAATTGCACATTCAAAATACTTAGAAAGAATTAAAGAAACAAATACAAAAAAATGAACTGAACATATGAAATACAATATAAATAGCTTACATAAAGTACCTATTAATACTCCCAAAATAAAAAGTGTAAACAAGTGACATTAACTTAAAAATACAATATAAATACGGCACTGTGCAAAATAAGATATTAAAGAAACG